GTTTGGCTGTGCTATACAGTTCATCATGGTCTCCTTTCAAGGAAGAGGCATCTCTGAATGTCCCTTTGAACTTTTAAGAACTTTTCCAGTCAAGGCAGTATACTAAAAGCTCAGTTGTTGTGACCCACCAGCAGCCAGCAGAGGTGGCAGCAGATTCGGACAGTGAGGAGGTTGGGGAGGAACATGGGCCAGTCCTGGAGTCTGGGGAAGGCTCTGATGAGGGCTCTGCATTGGAGGCAGAGAGGGGGTTAAGGCCATCTGGTAGTTATTTGCTGCCTCTGGAGCCTCCGGAGCCTGACATCAGCAAGGCGGAAGAACAACAGGATCCCATTCCCAATGTGCGCATGCGCAGAGCTGCCAGAAGGCAAGAACAATTAAGAAGACAGGGTCGACTTGGGAGTAAGGCTTGGAGATGATTAGCTCGTCCCATAAGACATAAAAGAGGAGCGAGCAGGACGTGAGCTTTTGCAGGAAGCAATTTGTTCATCTGATCGGTTCAAGCTTTGAAAAGTTCTGTTTGACTCTGTGCCAAACTTTGGCCTTGCTCTGCATTTGCCAATTAGGTCTCTGGCAGCATTCCCAGGGAGAAATGGGTCAGAACATCAGCAACCTGTTGAAGGAATCTGGTTGGAAAAGATCTCTGAAACGGTGACTCAAGAGGACAGGGGTTTGAGAACTGGTGGGGGGAAGAGGGCGAAGGTCCCACACAGGCGGCGGGCAAGCACACAGCTCCACATGCACAAGAACTGGGCAAGCCCGCATGCTGCTCACACAAACGGAGCGTGTGCAGTCGCCTGCTGTTCATGTGAGTGGGGATACGCCTGCCACATCGGTAGCCCGGTTCCGAAAAGCTCAAGACTTGGTAAAGGGCCACGGCCTGGGGGTTGGGGACCCCTGATCCAGTCAATGCTAATCCCCACAGTGGCAAAGCAAACTAAGAGTGGATTTGACATCCAGTCTGATCTCTGTCAAAACCTTTCTATGAATTCAACATTTTTTTTTAAGGGGGAGTTTGCTTAAGGAGGAAAAAATGGCTTTTCCCAACGTTAAGAAACCACCCGGTTGCCTGCCCAGCAGCCCCTGTACTGAAAAAGAGGCCACTAGGTCAAGAAGAGTCTCTCAAATTCGGAAAATTTATATGGTTTTCTCCTTCCATGCGCATTGGGACTAAACTGGTGGCTTTTTGAAAGAGTCTTGAACCAGGTTAGGGATCTAGGCCTAAGGACCCATTTACATCCCATCCAGCTGTGCTCCGAATGACCGTCTGCAAACTGACTGCACTCATGCAGATCATTTAAGCTGCCAGAGAATAACGCTAACCCTGTCGTGTCGTTCGTCAAACCTACAGTACGCGGATACTGTGCATCCCTCGGAATTCTCAAATGGAAGAGGCGACTTGGAACAACACATCTGCACTTCCCCTATCAGTGCATCCTTAAGCCAAGTGTCTTTTTCTAGGAGAGCCGTACAAGGCAAGGAAAAAGACTCGGCCTCTTTAAAGAGATGCAGACCAGTACGTCATCCCGCTCTGGACAGGCTCTGAATTTTTCCTGTTCCTTTGCAATCCAGGCTCCTGCACAGCCTCACTGTCCCCAAGCTAGGATACTGGATATCACCCCTTTGGCATACCCTAAAAGGCTTAGTAAACCTGAAAACAGGCCCAACACATTTCCAGGGGAAGCGTCTTTCCAGGCAGAACTCCCTACTCTTGGTACCTTTTCCAGCTCAAGAGGCCTTTGTTTGTGGGATCCTTCAGAAATGTCCTCCGTTGATCATTTCCATCCCTCCTCCTGCCTTGCTCCTAGTTTAATGTTTGGGTTTCGCTGGAACTGAAACAGGAGAGTTTCCCTTGAGGTCAGTGCCCCCCACCCCACCCACCCATATCTTTCCCATAGATTTGTTGCGAAGGAAGATCTGGTGTTCCTCCACCCCAGCCGAAAGGCCCGTTCGATCAAAGACAGCATCACATCTCGCAACTCAAGCTTTCTAGACCTCTAGCTGCCACCCTGGCTCTTTTCTTGTGAATATCCCATTGCTAGGTTTAAAGGCTGAGCTGCGAGCGGGACCTCGGCCCCCTTGGGTGCTATCACCCGATTCTTCCCACTCTGGACGGATTTCTTCATACACAGCAAGGTACAGTTCCCCAATAAAATGTATCCCACCGCCGGAGCGGTTAAGGGGTTCCCTTTCCGGCAGGTTTCTCTCTCGTGCTGGAGCAGGGAGGCCCGGCGTCGGTAGCTTTTCCCGCAGTCTTTGCAACTGTAGGGCCTCTCCCCGGTGTGCACCCGTTTATGCTGGCTGAGGTTCGAACTGTTGCTGAAACTCTTCCCACAGTCTGTGCATTTGTGAGGCCTCTCGCCCGTGTGGATTTTGAGATGCCGGCGGAGCTGGGATTGGCATGGCCACCGCTTGCCACAGTAGGAGCATTCGTAGGACGGGGCCTTGGCTGGTTGAGCGAGATCAGCACGCGGGCCGCTCTTCCTCACACATCCGGTGGCTGCCTTTTGGGGGAGGTGCTCAGGGACCCTCTCCTGGCTGGGGCTCCTGTCTGAATCGATTTCCCTGCAAGTCACATTTTTTCTTGGCAACTTCCTGGCTGAGTTTCCTTGGGGGTGTCTCGGTCTCTCCTGACTTCCTGGCCTTCCTGCTACTTCAGGTACCTGGAGAAATGTCCCTCTGCCTCTTTCTGGGGAGATGTCACCAAATTCAACCAACTGGGCATTTTCCGGATGAAGATTTAGCTCCTCATTCTCACCTCCTGAAGCAAAGCAAGGATGCAGGTTAGTCTGTCCTCCTATGTTTTTTGAGGACATCCTGGTTAATTCTCCGTGCTCCATTCCCTCTGAGTGGTGGCTGCGGCACCTTTCTCCGTCACCTGCCCAAAGAGAATCACAAACTCAGTCTAAAACATTGGCGCTGAACTTCAGAAAATCTGACAACTTTCCTAAAACAATAGAGGAGTTGACAGAATCAGATCGGATGCCGATGAGTGTTGCGCTAGCAATAGCGCTTAGACTTATATACCTGCTTCTCAGGGCTTTACAGTTCTAAGCAGTTACCAGGGTCAGCATATTGCCCCCCCCCCCCCAAAAAAAAATCTGGGTCCTCATTTTACCGACTTCGGAAGGATGGAAGGCTGAGTCAACCATGACCCAGTGAGATTTAAAACTCCTGGAGTGAGCAGTGAGTTAGCCCT